CGGCCTCCTCGTCGGCCCCGACGCCGGTCGCCTCGCCGGTTGTGACGCCGGCCGCGACGCCCGCCGCCTCGCCGTCCGCCTCGCCGGTGGCTCCGGTGGCTCTGTCCGGCCCCGTCACCCGCGCTCGCGCCGGCATTCATTGTCCGAGTCTCCGGTACTCGCGTGATGAGTATGTCCTCGCCGCCTCCGCTGTGGAGCCGTCGCCCATTCTTGCGTCCGCTCGCGCCGCCCTCCGTGATCCTCACTGGCTTGCGGCGATGCAGGAAGAGTTCGATGCTCTTCAACGGAACCGCACCTGGACCCTGGTTCCCCGGCCTCCTCGCGCCAACGTCATCACCGGCAAGTGGATCTTTCGCCATAAGACTCGCTCAGACAGTACACTTGAGCGCTACAAGGCTCGCTGGGTGGTCCGCGGTTTCCGCCAGCGTGTTGGAGTTGACTTCACAGAGATGTTTGCCCCGGTTGTCAAACCGGGCACGATCCGCACCGTCCTCCAGCTCGCCGTCTCCCGCGGCTGGCCTGTTCACCAGATGGATGTCTCCAACGCCTTTCTCCACGGCCATCTTGAGGAGCAGGTGTTTTGTGAGCAACCCACTGGCTTCATCGATGCTTCACTTCCCGGCCATGTGTGCCTGCTGTCTCGGTCTCTTTACGGGCTAAAGCAGGCACCCCGAGCCTGGTACCAGCGGATCACCGGGTTTCTTCAGACACTGGGCTTCAGCGTCACTCGCTCGGACGCCTCATTGTTTGTATATCGCCACGGTGACACGACTGCATATTTGCTGCTTTACGTCGACGACATCATCCTGACAGCCTCCTCCGCAGCCGTTCTTCAGCAGATTACTCTCCGACTGCGTGACGAGTTTGCTATCAAGGACCTGGGTGCTTTACATTATTTCCTTGGCATTGAGGTCGTTCGGCGTCCGGACGGTTTCTTTCTTCATCAGCAGAAGTATGCACATGAGCTTCTTGAGCATGCTGGCATGCTCAACTGCCATCCTGTTGCTACTCCTGTCGACACGAAGGTCAAGGTCTCTGCTCTTGAGGGTTCGCCTGCGTCGGATGCTCCTTTCTACCGGTTTATTGTCGGCGCCCTACAGTACTTGACTCTCACCAGACCGGATCTTCAGTATGCTGTGCAGCAGGTGTGTCTCCACATGCACGCCCCTCGTGACTCTCATTGGACTCTCGTGAAGCGGATCCTTCGCTACATCCGCGGCACGATGTCCCTCGGGTTGACACTTACGGCGTCCACTTCTCTGGAGATGGTGGCTTACTCCGATGCAGACTGGGCCGGCTGCCCCGATACTCGTCGGTCCACCTCTGGCTACTGCGTCTACCTCGGTCCTTCCCTCGTCTCGTGGTCGTCCAAGCGACAACCCACGGTTTCGCGCTCTAGCGCGGAGGCTGAGTACCGAGCTGTGGCCAACGCTGTCGCCGAGTGCACCTGGCTTCGACAGTTACTTCAGGAGCTACATCACGATGTCTCCCAGGCTACGATTGTCTACTGTGACAACGTCTCTGCGGTGTACCTCTCCGCCAACCCCGTTCATCATCGCCGGACTAAACACATCGAGCTGGACATTCACTTTGTGCGCGAGCAGGTGGCTCTTGGACGCATGCGGGTTCTCCATGTGCCGACCGCTCAGCAGTTCGCCGATGTGATGACGAAGGGACTGCCGACTTCTACCTTTGAGGAGTTCCGTTCCAGTCTCTGCGTCACTGGCGCCGCTTCGACTGCGGGGGGTGTTGAGTATATTGTATACGTGTATATGTGTATAGGGCCCACCTCCTGTTTTTTTGTATAGTTGAGGTTGTGGTCCACCTCTGTATTTATATATACGTGCCTGGTGCACCGATCAATATATCAAAATTGCACAATCCATAACTTGTCTTTCTACAGAGTGGAAGCAATGGCAACCCACGAGCGACCCGTCCATTTGATCTTCCGCTGGTCCGTGACCGTGAGGGAGACGACGACGCCGATGTTGTCCCCGGGGCCCGGCCATGCCACCCTCGCCACTCCCTTCAGATGCGATCAAACTGGCTACAGTTGCCTATCGACCTCAAAGCCTCATTTCTTTTCTTTTTATGGCCCTCCTCCGGCTTAGACCAGTTAATTTAAAGCGCTCAAAATGGCCCTCGATCGATCAGTGCCGGTCGACTGCATTATTTCTGGACTGGAGGAGTACGCACGCTCTGATCGTTCAAGACATGATACTGATTTGTTGCATCGTAGGAGAACGGTTGCTTCTGGCTTCAGATTTGGTCTCTGTGTCTGTGATGATACTGATTGGTTGTATCAGACATGCACGATCGCTCATGCTGCTGCTAATTATTCGTGTATCCGGAACGAGAAAAAAAAAACATAGTGAGCCTGTGAATCCTCGGAGACTCTTGCCGCATGTTGGTGCTGAACTGCCGATGCGTGCACGCATTCGTCTGCGAACAAACGTCCGGCCAAGAACTTCAGGGCGACCCTGACATGACATTGGTTGCGTCGCTTCTGCTCTGTTCTCTTGAGTGAAAAGTGAAGTGCTAAGCTGGTATAGATTGCTTGCAAGCTGCATCAACATTACCACCTCCATGGATCATCGCTCGGATGTTGCTGAGATGCATGCAGCCTGGGGCCTGGGCAGTAGCTTGAGCAGATGCGCTTGATATTCCGAGGAAGGTGGAAATGGAAAGGAGGATGGCGACGGGGACGGGGGAGCAGGTAGTACACCATGGATGGACGAGTGAGTGGTAGGTGGGGCCGAGGATTAATGGCTGACATGGACTGTGGGTCCCGTCAGTCCGCATCAAACACTGGAAATTTTGTAAGCATTTATCCTGTCTCGCCCAATCAATGTTCTGGATAACTGCACTGCTCAATTTCACACAAGTGTGTGGCTGGATGCTCTGCATGGATCCAACCAACCAATAGATACTAAATCTATAGTACTCCTTCGTTCCTAAATGTAAATGTAAGTCTTTTTAGAGATTTCAAATGAACTACCACATACGGATGTATATAGACATATTTTAGAATATAGATTCACTCATTTTACTCCGTATGTGCTCACTAATTGAAATCTCTAGAAAGACTTATATTTAGAAACGGAGGGAGTACTAACTACTCTCTCCGTTCCTAAATATTTGTCTTTTTAGAGATTTCAAATGGACTACTACATACGGATGTATATAGACATATTTTAGAGTGTAGATTCACTCATTTTGCTTCGTATGTAGTCACTTGTTAAAAAATCTAGAAAGACAAATATTTAAGAACGGAGGGAGTAGATAGCCACACCATGCATGCAACTTGTAATTTGAGATTTCATGCTCATTACTGTGCACCGGGTATTGTACAACCCACAGCCAAATGGTAAGAAGTAGTGAAAAATTGTGTCGATCATATCTAATACAACCAAAGCATGTAGTGTAAAAAAATGATTTTATATTATGGGAGAGAGTAATTTATAGTTGAACTGGGCAGTTGCTTAGCAATTCAATCGAAATTGTGTGAACGCGCCCTTTCCAAGCTAGCCACTTGAAAACCTTGGGACTTCTTTTTCATACATGATCCAGCCACCAGTTCTAGGATTCTATCTTTTCTTCCTAGATCACATCAACAATAAGAAACCTATGGAGTTGTCCATTTGGCGAAAGCATAAAATGTTGGGGTCGTAGACCGTTGGATGGCTACTCACAAATTCACCATCCCACCATCCTATAGTATAATATATTAATATAAAAGCGTTTTTCCACTAGTGTAGTGTCAAAAACGCTCTTATATTATAGGACGGAGAGAGTACATTTCAGGCCAAGAGAAGTATGGTACTTGTTGTGGCTAGATTCTATCAAAATCCAAAGTTTTGGCACAGTTTGATGAATCTCGAGATATATCTGAACATATAAAACCAAAAACACCAGAATTCCTGCAATTTCGGCGAACCCAATCACCTAATGGTGTCTGAAATTTGATGAACCGAAATTGTGAACCTGGTTTTAGGGTGTGTTTGGATTGCCATCAAAGTGCACCCTACCAAAAAAAGTTCATGGCCGAAACGTCAGCCCTTGTTGGATGATTGCTAAAATTTTCTAACTATAGTTCATTTTTCTTGCCATTGTTGATCAACTCATGGGCAAATAAATCTCAACCAAATTTTAGGAAAACTAGCGCAACTCTTCATCCTCCCACATTGTGCGGTCGCTGTGATCCAACGGTCCACGTAATCTTTGAACTTTTCACCAAATAAACATTTCCACCAGGTAAGTTTTCCTTTTACTGAGGCTATATATAGCCAGGCCATACAAGCAGCATAAAGGCAGTAGCCTGCGAACTGGTATCAGCGTTTGCTGCTACTCACCTGGGTTCCAAGTTCCAACAAAGAAATTGCTACTCATCCACTAACAATCCAAAGAGCCATTGATCTGCAGATTGCAGAAAATGGAGGGAGCACTTGTCACCTCCAACTTCAGCATGCCTGATCTCTACCCTGCCAAAGCCAATGCTGCTCATGCTGCGAGATCGAGGAGGCTCTCCTACATCTCCCCCGCTGCCTCTTCTGCTGCTGCTCCGAACCCCAGCTACAGAAGGAGGAAGGGCACGTCGCCCCCGCCGCCGTGGGCTGCCGCCACCGCCACCGTCCTCACCTCGCCGCCCAAGCCGGTCGAGCAACAAGAAACGGAAGAGCACCTGGTCGACACGTCCGTGAACAATGCAACTGGTACACGAGTTGCTACCGCGAGAACGAGCAGGGCATCCGATGCGCCGCGCCAGGCGGCTCGGTCGTCCAGGCCTCGCCGCCGGCCCGTCACTTCGCTACAGGCGGCGTTCTGCAACGCGCTGGAGGAGGCGATCAACACGTTCGTCGACCCGCCGGTGCTGCGTCCGTCGGTGGACCCGCGGCACGTGCTGTCCGCCAACTTCGCGCCCGTGGACGAGCTGCCGCCCACGCCCTGCCCCGTGGTGCGCGGCGTCATCCCGCGCTGCCTCGCCGGCGGCGCCTACATCCGCAACGGGCCCAACCCGCAGCATCTCCCGCGCGGGCCGCACCACCTCTTCGACGGCGACGGCATGCTGCACTCCCTGCTCCTCCCGACGGCGCCCGACTCCGACCCCGTCCTCTGCTCCCGCTACGTGCAGACGTACAAGTACATCGTGGAGCGCAACGCGGGCGAGCCGGTCTTGCCCAACGTCTTCTCCGGCTTCCACGGCCTGGCCGGGATGGCGCGCGGCGCCGTCACGGCGGCCAGGGTGCTGACAGGCCAGATGAACCCGATGGAGGGCGTGGGGCTCGCCAACACCAGCCTCGCCGTCTTCGGCGGCCGCCTCTACGCACTCGGCGAGTCGGACCTCCCGTACGCCGTGCGCGTCGACCCGGCCACCGGTGAGGTGACCACGCTCGGCAGGTGCGACTTCGGTGGCCGCCTCAGCATGGGCATGACCGCGCACCCCAAGAAGGACCCCATCACCGGCGAGCTCTTCGCGTTCCGCTACGGCCCCATGCCGCCGTTCGTCACCTATTTCCGGTTCGACCCTGCAGGGAACAAGGGCGCCGACGTGCCCATCTTCTCCGTGAAGCAACCGTCTTTCCTGCACGACTTCGCCGTGACGGAGCATTATGCGATATTCCCGGAGATACAAATCGTGATGAACCCCATGGGCATGGTGGTGGGCGGCGGCTCGCCCGTCGGGGCGGACCCCGGCATGGTGCCTCGCCTCGGCGTGATCCCCAAGTACGCCGCGGACGAGTCGGAGATGCGGTGGTTCGAGGTGCCGGGGTTCAACATGATGCACTCGGTGAACGCGTGGGAGGAGGCCGGCGGCGACGAGATCGTGATGGTGGCACCCAACATCCTGTCCATCGAGCACACGCTGGAGCGCATGGAGCTGATCCACGCCTCCGTGGAGCTGGTGCGCATCAACCTCCGCACCGGCAACGTCACACGCACGCCGCTCGCGGCGGCGAACCTCGACTTCGGGGTGATCAACCCGAGCTGCCTCGGCCGCCGCAACCGCTACGGCTACTTCGGTGTTGGCGACCCCATGCCCAAGATCGGCGGGGTGGCCAAGCTCGACTTCGACCGCGCTGGCCACGGCGACTGCACCGTGGCGCGCCGGGACTTCGGGCCGGGGTGCTTCGCCGGGGAGCCGTTTTTCGTCCCTGATGACGTCGAGGGGAACGGCGACGAGGACGACGGCTACGTGGTGTGCTACGTGCACGACGAGGGCACCGGCGACAACAGGTTCGTGGTGATGGACGCGCAGTCGCCCGACCTGGACATCGTCGCCGAGGTGCAGCTTCCCTCCCGCGTCCCCTACGGCTTCCACGGCCTATTCGTCACTCAGGCCGAGCTCCGGTCACAGCACCAATGATCATCAGATTCAGACACGCCAACACGTTCGATGTTTCCGCGCCATAGATTGCGCGCCACGATGTATAATAGTAGACCAATAGAGTGGTGCATGGGTAGGTCATGTATAGGATCCCATGACATACACATAGGAGAAATAGGTCATCTCATGTGTAGCATTTACATGTTTACAAGAAAGAATTGTTGGTGAAAAACATACCTGCAGTACAAAAAAACAGCCTGGAAAATACTTGCAACACACGTCCAGCCTGCAGAATTGCTAACTCATCGAGTAGTAGTATGAAACAAGGCATGAACTACAAGAACTTAACAGATGTAAGAGAGTAAAACATTTCTCTCAAAGTTCTACACACATGACCTCACTGGCTACAGAGTTTATACATATGTATGTATGTAGGGATTTCACGGGATATACATACTATTGTATTTCACAAAGTCGGTGGTGCTACCTTGCATTTGGTAATAGAATCATCAACTCAGCATCCTCAATGTTGTTAGTCTGAAAAAGCAGAATGAGCATGGCTTCTCTTTTGCCTAAATTAACCTAACTGCTCCTATGGAAGGTCTGAGAGTATGATTTTCTGCAGCCGACACAGATGCCAACATCATTACCAATCGTCAGTACAATCTTCTCTGCAGCACTTCTCTTCCCAACATCTAATGCATTATGTATTTTTACTCATCAAAGGAGATAGTGAGATACCTAGCATAAGTTGCATAAAACACCAGCTTCTCAAGATTCATGTGGCACATTCCACAGCCTGGAAAGGGATATAAAGGGCCTGGGGCTCAAGTTACCGCCCTTTATGACTTGAGAAGCACTGTCACATGGCTCCGATGCGCATTTTACATAAGGTACTCCAGTGGCAGTCAACTTTTCTCGATGTCGTGCCCAGGTGACAATGTATAAACCAGAGATGATTAGAAACCCTCCAATAATACTGCAAGCAAACAGAGCAGATTACTTCAGATCAAAAGAGATGGTAAACATTTATTGCTACAAAAAGAATTACTTTATTACCATATGTTAGAAACTTAGACTATTGACCTTTCAGATTATCAGATGGTCAAATAGAACAAGACATCAATGTGCATATCCTACATACTACATACACAAATTAACAAGTAAGTAGAAGAGGTCTGGAAAAGTATTTTTCACTTCAAAGAAAGGATAAAATGGAAAAGGTTAACTCTAAAGAGTAGAACATATGATAAACATACTCTTACCTTCCGAAATAAATTGGACTGCCCAGAAAGAGCACTGACAAGAGAGCAGAGAGCACTGGCTGGAGAGGCATATATAGTGCCACCATAGCTGGGCCCAGAATTTTGTTGGACCATGTCAATAAACCAGTATTAAGAGCAGATGAAACAACTCCCTGAAATAGGGGGGAAATAGGGGAATTTCAGTATAGTATATTTATGGTGGCATGCGTCAACTACTTCTATACCCTACACAAACTAGCTTATTGCAAGTTTGCAACAATTATCACCACCACAGTACTACATACATGTAGAAATTCAATTCATGGTCCCATGCATGGGAAAGATAAATCTAACACAATCTTACAGCATATACAACAGCCGCAAACTCAGATGCAGTCAAAGTCCAATCTTCTTTACTGGTTGTTGAAAAAACTCCGGAAATAAGCATTAAAAGAGCTCCAAAAAAGTATGAGTAAGCTGTCAATGACAAACTGCAAGGGTACTTCACCAAAATTGGAGCCTGAAATAACAACACATGAACATAATAAGTATAAAATAACAAGAAAACTTTCTGCAATACAAATCAGAGCACATAGATCTTGTAGCATAAGTTTCAACCTTGAATAGCAAGATACTAGAGTAAGTCTAATACATAAACATATCTTCAACAATGTTAAAAGGGTGATCTCCTTCTGTTAGTATAGTGATATTGGTTCTTAAAATGAAGTATGATTTGCTCGGCCCATGACAAATCTTCTTGTGACAATTCACCAAATAACATACCATGTTCAGTATTAAGCAATGGCCAGTTGGCCACACAGCATAAATATGGGCCTTTTCTAGGAAGAGCAAACCCGGCCTAAGTTTTAATATCCTTCTCACTTTAAGAATGTCAAGAAGGCAGAGAAACCATTAGGAATTGGGACTGAAATATTCATCAAAATAGAGTGTTCTAAATAGAGTTGATGTGATCTGAAGTTGCCCTACAAGATTTACTGATCTAACTTACAGAGGCTTTCAGCCTTTCAGAACTTGTGCCATGCATATATGCCTGATAGAAAACTAAAGCTCAAGGTGTTCCGAGTTGACAAACATCAAAATGCAAATGGAATAGAGCGCGGCAACAGCCTGAAAATCATTAATACCTGCAAAGCAAGATAAGTTGCCATACAGAGGCAGTTCCCTATTAAACATAGCACTCCGATATGCCACTTTTCCAGCCCATATGCAATGAACCAAGATGATCCTGGCTCAGGTTGCAACATCTCAGTGATGACGACATTACGAGGAACATCAAGATCTAGATCGCTGCTACCAAACACAGCTGCCCCCCTGTACAACACCATGAGAACAGCACCAAGCACACAGACGATTGTGCCACCAACCTTGGCACGGCCCTCGTGTGTGACCAAGCTCGCCGTTTCAGTCCTGAAAATTGTAAAATGCTTAAACCAGCAAACAAAGAGAGATGCGAGTCTCTGAACATTTTTCAAGATTGAGTGAGACTGACCCCATGATGAGGGCCAAGATGAAAGTGAAGACGGGAATTGATGGCTGAATGGCGGCGGCGTATGTCGGATTGGTGTAGCCGAGGCCGAACAAGAACAGCAGCTGGTTGCCAAAGATGCTACAGGACAAACAACCAGACGCATCAGAGCACGAAATTTGCAAGTACATAAGCAGCATTGCTTCAAGCGGTCAGCGTGTCTGACACCGAGCGACCGGGTGGCCAGGCTTACCCCGTGAGCCCGAGGAAGAAGAAGGAGGTAAGGAGGCGACGCGTGACGGGCGGCGGACGAGCCTGCGCGGGCGAGCCGCGGTGGCGGAAGAAGGCGATGGGAGCAAGCACGCAGAGCGCGAGGAGGTCGCGGTAGACGCAGAAGACAACGCGGTTGACGCCGACGTTGAGCGCCTGCTTCGCGATGACGTGGTACCCCGCGTTGATGAACTGCGACCCCACCATCGCCGCGTGCGCCCGCCTCGCTTCCCCATCCCGCGCCGCCGCCGCCATCGCCGCCGATCCGATCCCACGGTCGTCGTCCCACGGTCTGAGTAGCGACTACTCCTCTTTGAACTTTCCCTACTGTTTTTTTTTAGGATTTTTCCCCACTGGTTGTTTTTTTGAGGGGGTTTTCCCCACTGGTTAGGCAGTGGACACTCGCAGTCCATGTGCTGGGCTCTTCCTAATTTGGAAATAGTTCTAACGGACCGTCTTGTTCGTATAACCGAGTGGATCGGCCCACTTCGCGTTTTTTATTCATCCATTTTCTTTATTTTTAGAAAAGTAATACGTAATAATTTTTTTATCAAATACACAAGCATTTTTAATACGTAAAACCCTTTTAAAATTACATGAAATATTTTTAAAAGCCATGAAATTTTGCTAAATCTGTATGGTTTTCAAAAATATGTGAACACTTTGATTGACTACATGGACATTTTTAGAAATACGTGACCACCTTTTTTTAGTTGCATGGAGATTTTAAATAAATGCGTAAACAGTCTTAAAATTGCATGAAGAGTTTTCAACACTTTTTTTAGTTGTACAATTTTTTATTCTTAAAATGACTTAACACTATTCCAAAATTGCATAGTTTTTTTTTCAAAAAAAATACATGAACAAGTTTTACTTTAATTTCTTGAACATTTATTTAAAATTATGGGACATTTGGTTAAAATCAGGGAGCTTGATGATAGCCTCTTCGTGCTCCAATGTTTTCTTTAGGAGATTATAACAACATCATGCTTTAGGGGCATTGGATTTCCTGGGGTTTGGGTGATGATCGAGGAGTATGATGGGAAGGGCACACCCAGTTAGGTTTAGTTGAAACATATCAGTGTATGGCACAAAATCCATGGTATCTCAGATTTGTACCATTCCGAGCCCATAGCAGATCTGGTAGCATGAAAAATTGGTCAGGTCAAGAGCGTCGAGATGAACCCATGTAGAGTTTTATAAGGTAACTATATCTGAGTCTGGGCCAAGATAGAAGTGGCAAAGCTCCTTACCCCATTTACACCATTAAATCTTAATGAAAGGGAGAGGATTTTTTTTCATGTGAAATATGAAAAGCTTGGTTACCTATGTGAAGTTTGTGGTATCCTAGGCCATAACCAGGAAGAATGTGGTGATGGTGTTCATGGGGTTGAAGAAATTGAGTATGATGATTGGATGACGCCTTAGAGGAGATCCTTTCCAAATGGGCAGGGCAACAACAACCGAGGTGGTTTCACATCACGAACAAAGGGCAACAACCGAGCAGTTTCATAGGCATGTGAGGAAGAGGCCGCAATGGCAGCCAAAATGGGAGTGAGGGCAACAACCCACATAAATGACCATCAGGGGAAGTTGCTGTCACGAGTCGGTCCCTGAATGGGGCCCAAATCTTTGTGCTTACTGTGTCAGACCCTGGATCAATAGCTAACATGCACAATCGACGATGAAATACCGAGAATACATCATGTGTTAATTATTACATTGCAGATCCAATGCTTTACAATAGACACCTGCCTAGCTCATAGGCCAACTTATAGTACAACGTGCAGTGGAGATATCATTCTAATCTTGTGGCGCCCATGCACTCATAGGCAGAAGTTGAGTATAGCATCATAACCCTACTTTGTACCTTCCACTTAATATGATAGACCTGCAACATGATACGTTGCAGCCACAAGGGTCAATGCATCGAATGTATTGGCAAGTTTTGTTGGAAATATGCCCTAGAGGCAACAATAAAATGGTTATTATTATATTTCCTTGTTCATGATAATTGTCTATTGTTCATGCTATAATTGTGTTGACCGGAAACCGTAATACATGTTTGAATACATAGACCACAACATGTCCCTAGTGAGCCTCTAGTTGACTAGCTCGTTGATCAACATATGATCATGATTTCCTGACTATGGACATTGGATGTCATTGATAACGGGATCACATCATTAGGAGAATGATGTGATGGACAAGACCCAATCCTAAGCATAACACAAGATCGTGTAGTTTGTTTGCTAAAGCTTTTCTAATGTCAAGTATCATTTCCTTAGACCATGAGATTGTGCAACTCCCGGATACCGTAGGAATGCTTTGGGTGTACCAAATGTCACAACGTAACTGGGTGACTATAAAGGTGCACTACATGTATCTCCGGAAGTGTCTGTTGGGTTGGCACGAATCGAGATTGGGATTTGTCACTCCATATGACGGAGAGGTATCTCTAGGCCCTCTCGGTAATGCATCATCATAATGAGCTCAATATGACTAAGTAGTTGGTCACGGGATCATGCATTACGGAACAAGTAAAGTGGCTTGCCGGTAACAAGATTGAAAGAGGTATTGGGATACCGACGATCGAATCTCGGGCAAGTAACATACTGATTGACAAAGGGAATTGTATACATGATTGCTTGAATCCTTGACATCGTGGTTCATCCAATGAGATCATCGTGGAACATGTGGGAGCCAACTGTTGGAGATATGCCCTAGAGGCAATCATGTATGATGATATTTCCTATGTGTTTATGAATAAAGATAGTCCTTGGACATTATCAATGATGTGTATCAGCAAGTACGTGGCTTGTTTGTGGGACTGTGCATTGTATGATGACTGTCCTAAAAGGTCCCTAGTCGAAAGGGCTGTGTGGATGTGCAGCCGATTAGACTAGCATATGACACGGTCGATGGCTTGGTCTCACTAGCCATGGAGCATTGGCTTCTAACCGGATAATATGGACTTGGAAAGGTCTGGTCGGATTCGACATAGTCGGATCCGAGTCGAGATAAGGTCCAAGTCGGACATACCCAACTATGAGACGCAGCGATATGTCATCTGTGAGTCTCTAGTACAACATACGTTCTATGTCCTAAGACCTGAGCTGGCGCATGTACTCGGGATGGTGACAGACTTGCTTTGGGCCGACCAAACGCTACTTCGTGACTGGGTAGTTACAAAGGTAGGTTTCGGGTATGTCCAGTCCCATGCTGCGAGACATGGTCGAGCAAGATGGGATTTGCCCCTCTGATCGGGAGAGATATACTCTGGGCCCCTCGTGTGATCTGACCAAGATAAGCATGGCCATGCGACAAGGATTATGAGATAATCCGAGTAGTGGTCGGGATCACTGGAACGAGAAAGAGGTCGGGCTAGCACAAGGATGATAGTCTCGCCTTGAGCCCGACAACATATATCATGAGGCAAAGGGAACAGAAGTGTGACACGTTGTACAGGTTCGCCTAACCAGCTTCATAGTCTACTTAGTGGTCGGCACGCCTTGCTAGAGGCCGCTACCAACCGTGCAGGTCAGAGGTGATCCGAACTGCGACCAAGCTGACTTGAACTTAAGGGGTCGCGCGCTTAAGGGAAGGAACCTACGAGGTCGGATCCGAAGACACTGGTCGAATGTGATCCGAGCTGTATTCGGATTGTGGCCGAGTAGACTTTGGGCTTTAGGGTCCGTGAGAGGCCCAAGTGTTGAGCCTGCGACGGACGCCTATATAAAGTGGAGGTGCGGCACATTCATGGGGTTGATTGCTTCGGCGTTGCGACTAGGGTTTGCATGTGTTGCGAATAGACACCTCCACTCGCCGCCGACTGTGTGATCGGACCTAGCAGTCCGCCACACGGTGTTCCTCATGCACACACGAATATCGTTAGAGGCGGTGCACTTGCGCCGCTCCGGCGAACTTGTACGTGGGATCAGACGACCGGCTGTTTGAGGGAGATCGGACAAGGAGGAGACGATCCACGCGGACGCGCTACCCCAACTTTTCTTCCGCTGCACGGCACTGTGCGTCTAGTGGTAACGAACTGTGATCCATCTCCCGTAGCATGTTCTTGGTTGTTCTACGCATAGGAAATTTTAATTTGCAGTCGACGCACCCTACCATAGATCCCAACAGTGGTATCAGAGCCTCTGCTATAGGATTTGGATTCAGATCGTATGCATATTAGATATGTGGAGGCGGCAGATGAGATATGTTATCGTTGATAAGATCGGCTATGTGCACGGTTGATGTGATCAACTGCACATGGGGATCATTGAAGCTATGTTTTCTATCAATCGGGATCGATGAGGTCGTGACACGATCTACCCCTACCGGTCGGTCATCTGCCATCGGGGTTAACAGTGAAACGTAAATCCAAATCGGATTCGCGATGATCGATATGATCGGTCAGATCAGAAAATTTGGCGTGAACGGAGTTCAGATGCGATCTGTGATTTCCGAAAACGTCGGGCGTTGCCCGCACCTGCGAGGGGCGCTGCCCCTTCGAACCCCGCCCGCTAACCGGCTAGCGGGACCGCCGTGTATTTCGTACCCGACACACAAACCGGTAGAATGTGATTCTATGCATAACTTTGTTTTGCAGGTTTGATGTGAATAGTATGGCTCATGTGTGTGTGATGCATGTGTGTAATTTATACACGACCTATGTGTCATGTTTGTCAGCCAGTAGGAGCCAAAGTGCTGTCATTATATTGTATAACGACCTATGTGTCGACTTGTGACTCTATGCAAATTCATTACTAGTTGTAGTAGTTGGATAATAGAGATCAGGTTGGTGGCTTGGCATCCCGGCGTGACAAACAAGATGGAGTTCCTAGATGGTCATCGGAGTCGGAGCCGACTTGGAAGAACGTCCATGAAGGAGCCATACTATTTCACAATATGTGTTTATTTGTGATTGTTATGCTTCTTTGTTTGTATGCATGTTAGAATGGTAGAAAGATCCCTCATGAATATCAAGTAAATTACCATTCCCGATGTTGCACCTTCGCACGTCAAGTACGTCTAGTAGTGGGCTTATAAAATTGGGGTGCTGCTGGGTGTCCTTGAACTGAAGGGTTCGTGTCGGACACGGACATGCACTGCATCAGGTTAACTTGACAAGGCTATCAAAAAGGTTTTGGGCCTTGTGGCAAAGAAGGTTGGGAGCCGGGGTATGAGATACCTTCCCGACCGATAGGAGTCGTATAGAGATACGATTAGCAAAGAGTTGCTTACCGGATAGGTAT